TTGTTTTTTTTGTTTTGTTTTTTTGGACGCTTATTGGACTTTTTGGTGTTTTGGGACGTCTGGGATCCGTCCCTTGAGGGGGGGGGAATGTCACGATCTGTCTGTGTTGTGTTTTGTCTTGTTTAGATCTGTCTTTGGTTTTCTGTCTGCGTTGTGTTTGTCTTGTTTAGGCCTGTTCCCTCCTACCTCTTTACTTGATTGTGTTCACCTGTTGCCCCTGTGTTTTCTCCTCCCTCCTCACCTGTCTCTTGTTTCGTTGATTAGTTTTGTGTGTATTTAAGTTCTGTTTTTGCTGTCTGTCATTGTTGGTTCGTCGTTTGTCTGTGACTGTGTTCACCAGGGAGTGTTTTGAGTTTTGACGTTTAGCCTTGAAATAAAGGATTTTTCAGTGTTATCTGCGTTTGGGTCCTGCTTGCTTCACTCACCGTAACACTCAGGCTTGAGATGTGGCTGTTATTGTTTCCCCGTGGCAAACTGAGTCTGTAAAGCATGTTTTTTTGAGCACTTGGCAGAAAATTAACACCTTTTTAGTTGACAAAAGATGAGCTTGTTCTCCACCAAAGAACAATATCTTTGTCTAATACGCTGCTCCGTTTTCCAAGGCCATTTTGATTTAGTGTCTAACCAGTTGCTGATCTCGTAATCTTTTCCCTCCCATCATTTGTTGTCCATCTAATAATGTTTATATTTCCACATCTTTTTTTAATTCAAATATTGCTCTTGCTTCTCTTTAGTCCTCCCTGACATCTTATAATTCTTCGGTTCATTTCCGGATGTGTTGGTCTTATCTTTGGGGGATCGATAAGGCCTCTGTTGCCAAAGATCGACCAATTGATCTGAAGATTACTTAACACTGACTCTGGCTTGTATACATGGAAATTACTGGAGAGGAGAGGCAACAGCCAATGGAAAAGTGTTCTTTCTACCTCCAGGAAAATGAGTAAGTAATGATATATCAGGGCTGAAAATGATGCATATACAATGTACCAGAAGTTGATCAAATTAGTCATACATTCAAACACTTTCAATGTACTTTTTTTGGAGACAGCCTAGCTTTTTCTTTGGTCATAATCATACTAAAAAGGGCTTATTTACGCAGGATGTATCAAAACAACATATTTAAGCCATTAGCAAAGCATCGATGAATCACCATTTCGCCATGCATCATGAATTCAAATATTGGCAGAGACATCTAAGTGTAGTGCTTCTGTGATTAGTACTGGAATATTAAGCAATATAACAATATCATTGTACCTGCTGTAAGCGGTATGATATAAACCCTTTATATGATAATGCATTTCATTTTCATTTGCTGCCAGCAGTGTTTTTATTGGATGAACGATTACTGGAGACTGATCCATATCCGCAGATTTCACACCTACTTTTTCCAGACGTTTTATGTTTTACATCCTCTGCTATAATGCGCCATGAGTAATAATCAATCAAAATCAGTGGTCATTTAAAATATCTCCTTCTGTATTTTAGAGGATATATTCATCTGTCATCATACTGATCATACAGTCAATAATGCCATTGAAAAGAATATGCTACATTACAGTAACTACTTCTGGGTCTTTGTGTGTCATTCAAGCTCGGCTCTGTGTGTGTGTTTGTGTGTGGCACTAGCGCATTTTGTTTGAGCGAGAGAGAGAGAGCGGTACCGAGGATTGTTAGCATATGGTTAGCTAGCTATGCTAACGAATATAAGGAGCTTTTTCTACAATCTTTTTATAAAAAAATAAGAAAATAAATGAAAAACAGGTATAAAATACAATATGACAGTAAAGAAAAGTTGTTATCAATAAACAAGAATACAGTTTAAAGGGGGAGTGATTTGTAACATATCCATAAGCACTTTGGTCAACGTGGTTTGTTTTTAAATGTGCTTTATAAATAAATGTGATTGGTTGATTGATGAAGAAAAGGAAAATCTGCTTACAGTTCTGTTTCATAATTGATGTTGAGCGATCTATCCATAGATCTCTTCATTTTGCTTTCAAAGTACACCAGATGGATGCTTTTAACTTCAACATTTAAAAATGTTGCATGCGCGAATCATGGTAAAATATCTGGATTAAGAGGTTGCTTTTTCTTTGCACAGAATGAAAGAAAGGCGAAATGAATGGGCTGTGACTTTAGTATTTTTAAGCAGAGGTTGAGTTCAATAATTTGTAAGGCCCTCGGAGGATGTTGTAAAAATTGAAATGGCCCTTGAGAGGAAAACGGTTCCCCACCCCTGCTTTAGATGAAAATAAGGTGCCACTCCCAACGCCCCTCTGCGAGATATTTTGTTAACCTGTTAAGCCCTGAGCCTGTTTTTCAGGTTTCAGGCTCGACAATGGCATGCCCAGAACAAATGAATATATTTTCACTTCTAAAAGGGGTAAATTAATAATCTTTTTTCTCAAAGCAATGATACACCTGTGAGTTGGATATAGAAGAGTCAGAATCAATATAGATGTTTTTATTTTAAAGTCAATTCAGATTGAACATAGATTGGTTGGTGATTGGCTAATGGTTACACAAGCCAAAGAATCTTTATGACATCATAAAAGAAGTGGCCAAAATCTGAAGTGAGGCGAATCCTTGTCTCCTTAAACTTTCGAATATCTATTACAGCAGACCCCGTGGGACACATGTTTAGTATAAAAGCATGACACACGTGGATTTGCGCATAGTAGGGACTTTAAAAATTCCCGTTTGCAATAACTCTATAAGTGTCTCTTTTTTTCCAATGTAAACCTAAGTGCGTGGCTGAAGAGCACAAAAAAGTGTGTAACTCTCTCTCCTATTCACAAACCCATTCATGAATGAAAAAAGCAATTATATGCAATACTAGTAATTTTCCAGTTGGTATCTGTTTGTTCAATAGACTCCAATAATAAAAAAAAATCCAGAAACAGAGCATCTTCATGTTTTGAAACATGACCTTTTTAAGCTAAAAATCAATATTTAATGTAATTTTCCTACTTATGGGATAATTGTTTCAGGGCTTCTTTTATGATCACACACACGAAATGTAGACAGTAGTATCGCAGTTGCTGGTGTGAGATAAAGTTGAAGTGGTTAAGCCGCTGACACACCAAGCAGCTACCAGAAGAACTCGCCGAGCGTGACTCCGGACTGTTGCGTCGGCGTGGTTCTCTGCGTCTTGGCCAGGGTGGCTGTGTCATTTAGTGTGTTGATTCCGCCCTCGCGAACACCACCGCAAAGACTTCGCTACGGCCGACGAGACGTTCTGCTGTACACTAGACTGTGTCGCACTGGAACACACCGCAAAGACTTCAACCGAGCACGTACGAACTGCGCATGCGTGAGTGGCAATAACTCTCCTTACCAGCAGGCGGCGGTAGTGTGTATTCGTCATTCAAAAGAGGCAACAACCGGAAGACAGAGAAGAAGAACAGACTACGTGATATAAACAAACAACAAATAGCGTGTGCGTTCCATTTTCACTCTCGTCCATCGAAAACATGTTTTGTGCGGTACTGGAGCTATCAGCCATTGGAGTGTTGCTTGTGGAAGACATTCTCAAGCAACCGTTTCGCTTCTCATGCACTGATTCGCTAGCTGAACAGCCAATCAGAGTATTTCTTTGTCCGACTGCCTGTGGCCGACGCATCAGCCATGAAAGGCCAAATAAGGCATGTCACGGCCGACGGTGCGGGACACACCAAATTGAGTTTGGGCGACATGGCACGCTTCGTCGTCCGACTAACGAAAACGGCCGATTCCGGCCTGGTGTGTCCGGGCCTTCATGGATGCTCCGATCGCTGATCGCCGATCCGATCGAGTGGGCGGGGCCTATGGGGATCTTCCATTTAAAGTGATGTTTAAAACTCAGTTAATGG